TATTCTGTATTTTTTGCTGTGGTACATCTAATTATGTGTTTATTTTTATTGTTCCTGATTGGGATTCATTGGGATCCCTGAATATGTGGATTGTTTTGGGAAGGGGATATTTTTTATCAGTTCTGAAATGTTTTCAGTCATTAACTGTTCTCATATTGCCTTTTCCCCATTCTCTTCCTCCAGGAACTTCAGCTAGACATATGTTAGATCTGTTCCGTGTCACTTAACCTCTCATATTTCCTATCTCGGTTTCTCAGTTATGTATAATCTCCTCAAATCTGCCTTCTGGCTCACCAAATTCTCTCTTTGACTGGATCTAATATACGGTTAAATCTATGTATCTATTGAATTTTCTGTTTTGATTATTATATTTTTCATTCTTAGGACTTGAATTTTATCAGTATGCTTGGTTATTTTTAATAATCAGTTGCTTTTCTCATTTTTCAAACCCTTTTATATTTTTGCAAACATATCAAATGTACCTCCTTTGTATTGTGTGCTAATAATTCCAATATCTGAAGTCTTCGTGGATCTAAATATGGTGTCTAACTCTGTCTCTGCTGCTTCTCACTCTTGGTATTTGGTTTACTTGTATATTTTGTGATTTTTGATAGTGAGCGTAACTATCTTGGAACTTTATTTCTTAGAATTCTTTAGGTTGAAAATAGGCCTTTTCAAGGATGACTTATATGATTCTGCAAGGTGCTGGAGGAAAGTACAAGCTGGGGACCAGTTTAAATTCATGGCTTGAGGGTTTTTGATCATGCAGATAAAATAAAGTTGGGTTGCAAACTTATGTGAGGGCTGGCTTATTGTTACGCATTATCAGAGGGAAATTCCCCTTGCCCTCCACAGCACTAAATTTTGAGATAGGCAGTTTTCCTTATGGTTTCCGAAGTGGGAGTGTTTCTTGTTCATCCTTACGTTGATTGTTCAGCCTTTTCGGGTTCCAGACTTATGGTGGGGTGGTCTCCTATTAGATGCTATACCTCAGGTGGGCCCTAGACTTTCTTGTATTTCTTATGCACTGGGAGGCTTTGACAACTGAAGCCTAAATTTATCCGGTTTAACAAATGCCCTTAAGGCAAAAACTGCCTTCAATGTGCTACTTAATTCTCTGGGTTCTCCGTTTCACTTAAGTCATTAATTTCTGAGTATTCCTTACTGAGTTCCAGTTATTGATGTGATTAAAAATATTTTTTTTAATCTTATTAAGGATTTTAGTTTTTTTCAGTGGGAGAGTCTCTCTGGTAACCTAGTCCACCCAACTGCCAGAAACAGAAGTCTCTCCATCTGGGGTATTTCCCATGGAGAAATACCTTTATATCTGATGTCAGTCTGCATGTGATAGCCCGTACCAGACTGTTGTGCCAGTGAGTAAGGGGTAAAAACTGTTCCTAATGCATGCTCTGATTCTAAGCCAGTAATAAAGGCCTGAAGAATTTTCACACGATTTGAGCTGACACCAGGGAGGTACTTCTAGAATGGTAGTATGAGATCTGTGGACTCTTGCCCCAGCGAAACAACCATAACTGAGGAAAACTGTAAATATCAACCACTTAAAGTCTTTAGAAATTGTCCTAGGTACATATACAAATGGAGAAATGTTCTGGCAAAGAATAAGGATTAACTTTCATTTTCATAAGTGTTATGTATGACAGTTAAAATTTTTATGGTAACATGTAAAAGAATAGAAATATACGTTACCTCCAAAGTAGTAGAGGGGGAAAATGGAATATGAAAAAACCTACAGGGCCAGTCCGGTGGCGTAGCAGTTATGTTCGTGCACTCCACTTCAGCCCAGGGTTCACTGGTTCGGATCCTGGGCACGGACCTACTCACCACTCATCAAGCCACACTGTGGCGGCATCCCACATAGAAGAACTAGAAGGACCTACAACTAGGATATACAACTATGTGCTGGGGCTTTGTGGAAAAGAAAAGAAAAAAAAAAAAAAAGAGAAAGATGGGCAACAGATGTTAGCTCAGGGCCAGTCTTCCTTAAAAAAAAAAAAAAGAAAGAAAGAAGATCAAGAAATTTGTAAAATGTTTATCCAAAAAGAAAAAAACCTACAAATAAACCTGAAGAAAGAAGAGAAAAAAATATAATATAGGCAGGACATATAGCACAAAATTTAAATTGTTCTACTAAAAGACCATTACATTATTAGGCTGTATTACAGAAGGAAAACCTGTTTGTATATTGATTATAAGAGATATAGCTAAAATATAGTAAGACAAAATATAATACAAAAATGTAAAAAGATAGCAAATGATGTGTCACGCAAATAACCAAAAAAGCTGATGCTGCTTTTTTTTTTAACATTATACGAAACAGACTTCAAGGTAAAACTAGAAATAAAGAGATCACCATGAAAAGTTAATTTCACCAGAAGATATAATAATTTACGAACATCTATGCAAGTAGTAACATAGCTTCAAGATATACTCGGAAAAAACTTACATATTTACATGGAGAGATGGGCATTACTGTAGTGGAAGATGTTCACATGCTTCTCTCGGTAACTGACAGATTAAGCGGACAAAGAAATGTGACTTAAATGTAAATGTTCCTGATTTTAAAAACTTATTAAGAGGATATTATGAATAATTTTATAGCAATATAAATTTGAAAACTTAAATGAAATATACAAATTCCTAGAAAGGTATAACTTAATAAAACTGATTCAAGAGAAAAAAGAAAAGTTGAATAATCCTATTTATTAGAGAAATGTAATCGGTATTTTAAAATTTACTGACAAGTTCTACCGAACATTTAAGTTACAAGTAATTTCAATCTTACACAATCTATTCCAGAAAAATGGAAAAATAAGGGCAATCTCTCAATCACTTTATGAGAGCAAAAGCTTGGTAGCAAAACTAAGGATAGTACAGAAGGAAAAATGAAGGCCAATCTTATTCATGTACAGAGATGAAAAAATCCTAAACAAGATATTACCACATAATGAAGCCAAGGAATTATGGCTAGTTTTGCTAGGTGTAATAATGGTTTTGAGGTTTTAAAAGAAAATGTCCACTATTTTTAGAGTTGCATACTAAAATATGTAGGGGTGATGTCATAAGATCTGAAATTTGCTTTAAAATATACTTGGGGGGGCAGTGTAGGCTGGTTCTTAAATATTCTAGAATCTACACATGAGTTTATGGGAATTTGTCATGTTCTTATCTCTGCTTTTGTGTGTATTTGAAAAGTTTCATAATCCAAAAGGACTAGAAACAGTGACTTGATTATGTATAATTTTCTTTTAAAAAGAGAAAGAAAATACATACATATTATGAGGTGTCAGAAGCTAATGCCATACATGGACAGAAATGTGACAAGGTGGGAAATTCATTTTTTTAGGCATTTGATCTGACCTCATCCAAAAGGGATCCCAAGCAAGGTGCATTGCAAGCCATGCTGTGTGGTCTCTGAGGCAGAGCGGGGATGAGCTCCAGCTGGGCAGGAACATTCTAGGAGGATGGATGAAGTTCCTGGCCATCATAGATGGAAAGGAAGTTCACATATGCACAGTGATTTCACAGCTAGATATGGACCAAGTGCTTCCTTTAGCAGTGGTCAGTTACGTTTAGCCTTTACCTCCATCCACAGGATAAAGGTACGTGAAAAGATGATGTACGTGAAAAGATGATGTACGTGAAAAATCAGAAGATTGTAAAGCTATGCAAATGTATGCAAATGTAAGATACTTGAAATGTTATTTACAGAAGCAATTATATGTGTAAAAGGGATAGGGAGTGCGGCTACTCTGAAAAACAGTTTGGTGTTTCTTCAAAATGTTAAACACAGATTTATCATATGACCCAGCTATCCCACTCCTAGGCATATATACTCAAGAGAACTGAAAACATATGTCTACACAAAAACACATATACAAATGTTCACCACATCATTATTCATAATAGCCCAAAAGTGGAAACAATCAAGATGCTCACAACTTATGAATGGGTAAACAAAATGTGGTATTTCCATACAGTGGAATATTATTCAGCAATGAAAAGGAATGAAGTACAGACACATGCTCCAACATGGATGAACCTTGAAAACATTTTGCTAAGTGAAAGAAGCCAGTCACAAAAGGTCACATATTTTATGATTCCAGCTGTATGAAATATCCAGACTAAGCAAATCCATCGAGACAGAAAGTATATTCATGGTTGCCAGTGTCGAAGGAGAAGGGAGAATGGGGAATGAGTGCTAATGGGTATGGGTTTCTTTGGGGGGGGGGGGGTGATAAAAATCTTCTAAAATTACATAGTGGTGCTGGTTGTACAACTCTGTGAATAACTAAAAACCACTGAATTGTACACTTTAAATGGGTAAATTTTATGATACGTGAATTATATCCCAGTAAAGCTGTTATTTAAAAGGGTTGGGGGAACAGAGGAAGGAAAATTTGGGCCAAAATGGTTTTACCTCGTGTCACTCACCCCCTCAATTACCACTACCACCTGGGTCCCCAAGTCTTCTGTAAACTCAGAAGATGTATAGTTTGTTTTTCAAAACTGCATTGAGAAAATGCTAAGTCTGAAGCAGAAACAGTAAGAAAGCCAGGAATTGCCATGTTATGCCCCCACCACTCCCTCTTTTTGTGCCTGTAATTTGTTGACCGAGATGAAGAGGTGGCTTCAAGGACTGAGGCTCTCCTAACGTGGGTCTAAGGAAGGATCAGCCTACCCAGAAGGATAGGCCTCCTATTCTTGAATTTTCCCCTACTAATCAGCAATGAGCATATTCGAGGTACTGGCAAAACAGAGCTGGATGATTAGTTTTAATCACCAAATCTAATTGTCAAAATTGCCGCAAGTACCATCCCATGTCTCCCACACTAAACACAGAAGCGTGGCTTCCAGGCTTCGGATGACTGAACGACTCCCTGCTCCTTCTGTGGTGAGGACAGGTGACTTTCCAGGCCAGTTGGCTTTTACTCATCTTGTTCTTTCTCCCCCCATTTTCCTATCTCCCTTTTGTTTTTCAGTGGCTGCTTCAACCCCCAACTCCACTGCTGGTGCAGCCATGAATTCTTTGACCTCTCTTGGGACTCTGCAAGGACTGGCGGGAGCCACTGTTGGACTGAATAATATTAATGCACTAGCAGGTACCATAAACAGTGAGTATCTGCTGCTCTGGTGGACAGCCTTCCCCCAAATTCTCCAAGGAAAACGGTCAGCCAGAAATGACCCAAAAAGGATACGTAACAGAGAACTAAAACTTGGGTTGGAGGAGCACATGTTTTGACAGGCAAACGCTATCTACGTTCTTTTGCCTCAAGACACACCCAACCCTCACCACCCCTGGAGTCTTTTCTAATGTGTAGTATGTGTATTCATCCATAGATTTCTGTGCTAGTTGATGGATAATTGCAGGTTTCAAGGGGTTTGGTTTTGTTTTGTTCTTGTGAGAGGCAGTGTGTTATAACAGAAAAATTACTGGGCTAGAAGTCAGGACCCATGGGTCCAGCACCAAATCTGCTACTAGTCACCTGCAGAGTTTTAGGCAAATCACTGCCCCAGCTCTGGGCTTCCGAGTCCCCATTCAAAAACGGAAAGTTCTGGATCAGATGATCTTAAAGGTGCCCTCCAGCTCTAAATCTCAAAGATTCATGACAATTATATAGGCGGGAAAATGAGGCCTTGGAAAGAAGGAAATGCAGCTGAGTGGAGAGGAGCCATTGCTGCAGGTCACCTTATCTGGAGTCGTTATTAAGCACCATAGGCATGAGTCACTTTACAGCAGGGCATCTCTAAAGGGGCATTATTCTACTAGGGCAGGTTGAAGCAAAGTAAGGCAAATCACTTACAGAATTACTTAGTTCAGAAACACGGGGACTCACCAAAGAACTCTAGGTTCTGTCCTACACAGCCTACCCACTTCTGGCATTTTAGATCTACTATCCTCTGGCCAGAGTACTACCCAACCAGAAGATAAATATAATTTAGGCTCGTGCTTGATGTTGGCTCCAGCACTGGGGGAAACTGATCCTCAGCCCACAGAGGAGACACTTCATTTGCCTTTCCCTTGGTTTGGTCCCCGCTGGGTGCCTGAGAGTAGCCAAGCCCAGCAAGTCCATGACAGCCTAAAGAAATTCTGATTTGGGGGCCCAGTTACCCACCATGCAGCCCGGACAACCCAACACCTGCCCATTTTAAGCTTTAAGAAAGGGGACCTTGGCAAGTTGCCCTATTTTAAGCCAAGACTCAATAAGTGAACTCTTTTTAAAGGGTGAGCAGGCAGGACAATTTTTTTAAAAAGCAAAAATATCCCAATCATTCTATACTTGAAAAGCTCGAAAAGAATACCTTGCCATTTACTGGGGAAAAAAGAACCTAGAACTCATTCAAATGAAGACGGATGAGAAAATAAATCATATTTTTAGAGGTGGGAAATGTTCAGGTTTTATTAATCCTTTTATTCAGATGCTCTGGGGAAAAAAAAAAAAAAAAAACTTGGACTGAGTTTTATCTGACCATAGGCCAAAAAAAGAAGAAAAAGATTTTTCCTTCCAGATACGTTTAGCAAATAGTGTATGAAGTGGTACCAGGTGACAGCAGAAGGTTTTATTCCAGCGAGACTGCCTCCAGCTCCCCCTTCCCAGCAGCCCCGGGGGAGCCTCATTGCCTTGACTCCTGTTTCTGACCTTGTTCTGCAGACGCTCCAACCCACCTGTCCTGCCCTCGGGGGCGGATGTGTGTGTGTGTGCACAGCCCTTCATGCTGCTTCTCTTGCCCCGGGACCTAGTTCCCCTAAAACAAGGACTTTGATTTGATCACCTTCCTGTCCTTGGTCTGCAAAGTAACAGGCCAGTGGGAATGGCTGTCCTCCTCAGCACGTGCTCATGACTGCTGTGTGTTGTCCTCTTGTCTGTGTGGTCCCAGCGCTCCATCCTGTTCTGTTGTACTTGGTGGGGATTTTCCCATCGTTATCGTGAGGGACTAGAGAGGGACTTTGTTGAATGGCAGAGAAACCATGACTAGTTCTTGTGTGGGGTCTGTGTTATACAAATTTTGCTTCTGGCAAGGAAACAGGCTTCAATTGTTATGTGTTTTAAATTCTTTGCCATTGGGTTGATACAAGTATGTATAGTTCGTGGAAAATTAGGAATGTTTCTAGTTTCAAATAACCCCTACCAGACAGTATATATCAGGAAAATGTTTAATTAAACCAAAAATCATGCCCAAACAAAAATACATTCCTTGTGACTTGGTGAATGTTACTAGTGCAGACCTATGTAATAATCCCAACGTTGGCTTGGAGCTAATATTTGCTGCTTGTCTCAAATACCAAGAGAAAACCTTGTAATATAGAATGTCCTCTTTCAGACCATTCTTCCTCGACAGACATGATGATGCTACCTGTCCTACTAGAAAATTCTCAAAGAAGGTAGTCAAGAAATGGTTACCTGGACAGAGGCAGCTTCTAAAATAGTTGGCCACATTTCCATATCATTGCTATTTCCTACCCCACTCTGTCCCAGGAACCATTACTTGCTACCATAAGGAGAGTTTTTTGGTTTTCTCAATAGGTCTGACTTTTTTCTGTGGACAAAGGAGCCAAGAAAACAGTAGATGGAATCCACAGTTAATTCTAGAACTCATCTAGCGTCAGTTTTACCCCCTTCCCTGCCAGAGGGCTCCTCACTTCCCCCTCAGAATAAAGTTTTGGTTAGTAGACAAGTAGCTAAATTAAACAGTTTGAGCTTGAGATCCTTTTTCTTCCTTTACACATTCATGAAAGGAGGGATTAAAAAAGTACAGTATTCTAAAGCTAAAAGCAGAAATCCGGCAAGATCAGAAGGAAGGAATGTGGGTAATTCACTAACAGAGCCTTCACTTCTGGATCGTTTGAGAGTTCTCCAGGCATGTTTCGTTTATTAACATCTGAACTAAGACGAAGAAAATACTTTTTCCGGATATGTCCACCCAAAAGTCTGTATCTGATTTTGTGTTTAAATATATGTCCAGTGGCATCCTTATTTTTCTTTGTTTAAATGGCATAATTCTTCCAAATGGCTTACCATGTAGTGCTTAAAATTATGACTGTCTAAATAAAACCAGCCACAAATGCCTGGTGAATTGTGTTTATGGAAATATTTTGTGTAAAGAAGAAAAAAGAGAAGATGCTCTGGACATATTATTGTGCCTTGTTACCCTTTATTACTGTTTTAATATGTATTCTTGGAATATATAAAGACATATGTAGTTAGATACATACACAAGCACACACAACCTCACACACACTTATGACCATATTAACACAGGCATGTATATAAATGCCACTAATTGTGCATATTCATATTCATCTACCCTGGTTCTAGACATTTTATCCTTAAGTTCTTATTATCAGCTTGCTGCTTAGAAGGATATACCTCATCTATACCAAGGAAAACTTATCCCAGTAAATAGATGACAAATCTATGAGAATGTGTTAATCCATTCCTCACTTCTGCTGTCTTGTTTTATTTGGTAGAAAACTAGCAGAGTGGGCTGCACATAAATGTAGTTTGCTTATGGTACTCTCCCCTGATTCTAATTTTTAGTACTATCTTCACAGTGGCCATAAACAGTGTTAATGTTCATATTTATGGGTGAGTCCTTCTGTGTCACTTGCACAGATTTACTCAGGAATCTCACAGCTCCTTGGGTCTCCATCAGTTGAGGGTCTCTGGAGAGCAATTAAGTTTAAGGCGCTTAGTAGTCAGGATAGGCTCTAACTTTATTGATAGAGCATTTGTAAAGACCTTCCCTTGTTGAGGTTTGCCACACCCGCCATTTTGTTCCAGCCTTCCTCATCAAATAGCAAGCCTGGGAGTCTAGATTAAATGGGATGAAGTGATCCATCCATTTGGCCTTTTCAAAGAAAAGCTATTCTTTTAAGGGGAAGCATTTCATTCAACTTAACCTTCTTCAAACCTCAGTTTCTATTGTCCAAAGTTTTTAGATGTGATCAGAATACCAGCAGCTAAATTGACAAGTGCTATCTTTGCTATAATGGTTATTTAATATAGACTAACATCAGATCATTCACAGAAATAACTCTCAATTTGAAATCTTCCTTTCATGGTTCTTCGGATTCTACCAGCTAATCCACTGCCTATTCTACTTGGATTTGGCAAACACACACCTCAGATTTTCTGAGATAGTTTTGGTTTTCAATATTCTCGATGCACTTGTACTTGTTAGAATATTTACCCTAATTTTTTGTTCAGAAGGATGGTTATAGCATGGAGGAGGAAAGCCCTGGGCTGGAGAGGACCTGGCTGGTCCCCTCTTTGGCATCAACACCCTTTTACGTGGTGCCTCCTTGACTGTCTCCATCCCTATACCAGGCAGGTTAAGGCCAGCCATGACTACCTCCCACACACACGGAATCAGCTGAAGCAAGCAGAACCCTTCAGAAAGCAGATCTGCCCTGAGGTATAGTCCAGAAACACAGCCAGCCACTGTGAAGTGGAGGCAAGAAGATTGTGTGGATTTTGGTGGCATATCAGTTCCTAGAGCTGCAGGCCTCACAAGGACTCTAGTCGTGAAACATCCAGCCAGTCTTTCAGAAGCGTGAAGTTCATTCGGCTTCTATGTTTCAAGAGAAAAAAAAAAATGGCAAAAAGGAGGAAAGAGAAGTAAAAAGATAATTCTCCTAACTTGGACAATTAAAAAAGTCCCCATGCCAGAAGGGAAGGAGTTGGGCACCAATGACCACTGCAATTAAATACCACCTATGTGTCTAGCCCTCTGGAGAAGCCAGGTCATGGAAGCTACACATGACAGGAAGGCACTCCTAAGGGTCGTACATGGCAGGGCCTGAAAACTCCGAGGCCCTCAGGTGACAAGGTACCATGGAGATGCAGTGCTCTCAACCACTCCATTGATGCCAGGGGGATCCGGAGACAGTCGTTGTAGTGGAGCTTCTGTCTTTAGCCCTTATGTGTCAGACAGCTGTGCTCCACGCACACGTGGAACCATATGGCTTGGGGTGTAGGTAGAGTGGCAAGTCACTGCTCACTTCCCTGCTAGACTCTCTGCCCACACAGGAATCCGACTTTCCAGAGGGCTGAGCCCATGATGTGATCCTCTGTATCCCTAGCACCTATTGACAGCCCGACAAAAATGAAACCAAGGGCACTTATCAACTGTGCCCGGCAATTCCCAGGTTATTTTACAACCCGTCTCCGAAAAGAAACATTGATGTTTCTTTGCATTCACACAAATATTGAGAGGCGAGAATGAAATAAGACCAAAAGGGGAAAAGAGAAATAAATACTCCCTACTCTCCAGCAGCCATAAGAATAACAGGGATGGAGAAGAAAGGAGGCACGAGGTAAATGTGATTCGTTGGTGTCTGAGGCATTGTTTAGAGTAATTAGGAGGACAAACTATTTCCAAGCTCTTGAACAGCTCTTATAGAGAGAGAGAGAGAGAATAGACTCTTTCAAAGTAAGAATCTTCAAGGAGAGTCAGCAAGACCTCTGCTGGCCAACACCTTTTTAGCTTAGCTTGTATTTGCTAGATCTGCTGGGAATCACTTCCTTCTTCAGTAGGCTGGTTATTCCATTCTCCTGTCCCTCAGACTCTCCTCGCCGCTCCACCCCACCCCAATCCTCTATCTGTCCTGAGAAGACCATACTTGGTAACATCACCCAAGGCCCAGTTCTGTCTTCTCGATCACCCCAGGGAAGAATACGAGACCTAAGCACTATGAGATTCCTCTACTGTAAAGCCCTGGTCTAAATCATATCTTGTATGTAGTCCTTTTAGTCTAAGAGATGAAGTTGTCAAAATAACAGAAACACGTATGGAGTAAGTAGAACATTCCCCACCTCCTCTATTTCCTGTGGATGGCAAGCCAAAACGTTGATGGGAGTGTTGAGGTATTGGAGGTATTGGATTCCTCTGTATACTTTCTAAGCATCCTTATCTGAGTTGTTGTCTATTCTCATTAGACTTACCAAGTTTTTTCACAGTTATCTTTGCTATTTTGATCGTCCTAATCAATAACCCTAATCCCTTCAAGATTTTCGTTAAGGTTTTCAGTAAGTTCTTCCCAGAAACAGACTTTTTAAAAAATGTTTAATCATAAAAGGGAACTAAAGGCAATTCTGATGTCACCTCTTCCATTTCCTGAGTTTATATGAAAGTTAACACTCTATAAAGTATTGCTTGTTTTGACTCACTATTCAGGGAAAATGTGACACAGCCAGCAACCATAAGAGAGCAAAAGAGCAGCCAGGATTCAAGGAAAAAAATCAAAAAAGTATGCTGACCAACGTCCAGTTCACATCAGTTAATAGCCAAGATCCAGCTTACAGACACGAGTGTTCCTTCAGTTGACTGAAAAACGTGACATGGCGCTCTTTCACTGGTGGAACCCCAGTGACGTGGGCACTGATTAATATTCCTTTGTGTGTGTGTCTATTTGCTGCCAAAAATGGCCCCATTCCATTTCTAGCCTTTCAAACTGAAGAAGCAACTTCAGTTCTCTGCAATTAGAGGAGGGGTCCACATTTTTCCCTATGCCTTAATTCTTAATCAGCTCGGCTCTTCCTCAAGTCCTAGTCCCTGACAGCATCCTTCAAATGTTTAGGAAAGCCAGTTAATGGAACTGCCGATTCACTGGTTTATTGAGTTCAGGGTTTGTCTTCTCTGCCATTTCCTCATCCAACAGCTTAAGGGAGAAAAGTTTTATTTTATCCTTTCCTCCTCAACGCCTTGAGCCATCCCATGGCTCCTCAAAGAGCCCAGTAAATGGATTTAAGTGTACAGATGTTACAGGCCTCTGCCACTAATGTGTTTTTACATGCTTCTCAGCTCTAAGAAGCAGAAGGCTTTTATTTCAAAGAGATGATAACAGTACTTGCCAGTAGCACATTGCATGGAATTAAGATGTATTGTCTAACTGTAGTGCCTCCGTGAATTGTGATTGCTGGCCTAGGGAGTGAGGGTTATCATTGCTCGTGGCGGGGGGGGGGGGGTTGTCGTTTGTATGTTGTATGTTTACCATTATTATGATTTATTACTGCATAGTTTCGTTTTTAATTTCATGTGGGTTTGGTTGGTGTGCTAGCTGCATGCACTTGCTGTTGTACTTGTGTCAAATGATTCTCTAACTTCCTTTGGAAAGCACTAATGAAAAGTGCTGTTTCTCTTCTCTATTGTTGGGTTTTTTGTAAAGTTGCTCAAATGCTCTCAGGTATGGCGGCTCTGAATGGAGGACTTGGCGCCACGGGCTTGACGAATGGCACAGCGGGCACCATGGACGCCCTCACCCAGGCCTACTCAGGGATTCAGCAGTACGCGGCAGCGGCACTGCCCACTCTGTACAGCCAGAGCTTGCTGCAACAGCAGAGCGCTGCAGGCAGCCAGAAGGAAGGTACGTGCCTCCCCGTGGCCCAGGGCACGGCTGGTGTGACCAGCCCAACGGGCAGCATTCGCCTTTAGAGCAGGTTATCGAAGAAACTAGACTGAACCAGGATCGTAAGAAAAACCATTTTATTCCTCGCACTCCTGTTTTTTTTAAGAAACCTGATAAGCCTAAACCATTTGTTTCAATCTTCTTTCCTATTCAGTCTTATATTTTATCTTTTGATTTCATTTTTCATCTACCTCTTAAGATGGATTTCTCACCCATTGCGTGCTTATACACAATTACTTAGTAGTTGCTGCCATCCAAAAATTGTCAGGAACCTGCTCTCCCAAGTCAGCATGGACCACCTGTTATTTCTCCCCGACACATAAACTCCTCGATAATAGGAGGGATGAACTGATACCGTCTTCTGTGGGCAAAGCGCTCTTTCTGACAGGTCCCAGGTTTCTTGGGGTCCACATCCCCTGTGATTGTGTAGCGTGGCTTTCAGTAGATGATGGTTTCCAGGTTAATGATAAAATCCACTGTTAGGATTGACTCCGGCCTTGCTTAATTGGGGGTGTTCTGGGAAAGCGAATTAGTGATTGATTGCCTTGCTTCTCTGCCAATAAAGCAAATAAATATCAGGAAGTTAATGCTAAGAATAAATTAAAGCTAATTATAAAATAGTTAATGAGCTAGTCCAAAGAGGGAGAGCTTGTCTTTTTCTTTCTTCCTTTTGGTTTCTTCCTCCTTAATTGAAGTTGCTTTAAAGCAAAATCTGCAACATGATGTTTATTCTCTTCATGTCTTGTCTAGAAGACAGGAAAAGAAGCTAGAGAAGTACTGCTAAAGAAGTTTCTTTAATTTCTTTCCCTTCTCTTTTATCCACACCCCAGAGTTACAAACTGTTTTTGTCTGAATACTTTGACTTTAAACATGGTGTTCTATAAGAAATAAAATAGTTTTACTGTGTAGAGTGAATTTTAAAGGGGACACAGCCTTAAATAGACGTGTGTAAAAAAAAATAAAAGGTTTTTGTCTGTTCATAAATATAGAGATCATTAAAAATGAAAGATATATGAAAATCTAAGTTATTTTTCATTATTTCAACTTTCTCTTGACTCTTAGTTGAACTGTTACTGTAGATATTTTAAAACACACACACAGCTGTTCAGATAGCTCCGCTTCCCCAGACGTGTGGAGACCCTACATCATAAACACCAGGACTTCCCAAAGAAACGCCTGTATGGAGGTCCCTTTGTTTGGGGTCTACCGTGGTGACAAGTAAGGGCAAGAGGAGGAGTCCTGTAAGATAATGATGTCCTCAGAAGAGACCATAAAAGCCACTTCCCTCACATGCATTTTGGAGAATGTAGGTCACCTCTCCATTATCCACCAGGGCCTATATAGCAAACTCTATATAGCCTGTGTCACTAAAAAATATCAGTCAGTCACCAGCAGACTCAAAATTTAGTGGTTTAAGGATAAAGCCTGGGGCCGGAAACAGTATTTTTCTCAGTTGCTTCACCCCAGCCCACTGCCCTAAATTTCCATGCCTTGAGATTTAGGGGTTTAGGGCTGTGCAGTAATGAACGTTCCTCTGGGATTAATGTGAAATAGTTGGAAATTACTATTGCCAATTCCAGATTATTTATATTTAGGTATGTGGGCTTCCAGTAGCATGGTTTTAGGGTTTTTGATTTTTTTGTTGGTGGTGTTTTTGGTGTGTTCAGTTATTTTAATCATCTCTCACCTTCTTATATCTGATCTCTTTTTCTCACCCAGTTAACGTGTGCTCAAAGAATTTAAACCATCTTAATATGAGTTTAACTAAGATACAATTTAAAAGGCAAGTTATACTGGAAAACAAAAGCCATAATGAATTCCACTACTAAATAGATTTTTATGTTTTCTACTCTATAGTTCTATGCTTTAGTCAAGAGAGTTGAAAGTCAACTTGATGTGTTTAGTCATGTACTTAGTGTATATTTAGCCACAGGAAAATGAGCCAGTCCGGCTTTGTAAAGAAATTGGTTTTAATTTTTTCCCAGCTAAATCTTCCGAAGGGTTATGGCAGCCCTACAGCTCTAAATCCAGGAAAGGTGACCACCTTTTCTGCCATTCCTGAATATCCTCGGACCTCTTTCACACCTTCCCATTTTCCTTTATTTGCAGGAGGCAGGTCACGCACACACAAATAGATAGAGGCTCTGGATACCCAACAAGAAGCTAGCAGGCGCTGGCGGTCTGATCCCAACACCCCACCTGCTTTACGCTAGATCAAATGCCCTATGAGAAATACAAAATATGAACACCTAAGCAGCTGGGACCCACAATATAACACAGAGAACTCTAACAAGTTAAAATAACATGTGCTAGGAGAAATCTGAGGAATGTGTGATTTGTCAGCAGGTTTTCACTACACAGAGAGGTGAGGAGGATACACACATGGAATCCTCAAAAAAAGTTTTGTTTTTTTTTACCCTTAGTATCTATGGCAATAGCTGCCTTCTTTGCATACGAGAGGTTTTCCATATCAAATCACCTTTTTCTCATTTTAGTGTTAAAAATTTTGGCAGTTGGCAAAATCAGACTGTTTCTTGGTGATGGAAAAAACTGGGCGTCTACAGCAGAAGATGCTGGTGGCATTTTTGTCCTGGAAAAATGATGAATGAAAGGACAAAGCCTCCTTGAGTTTACCTGTCTTCATATTTTCTTGGTCCCCCTATCTGGCACAGATATGTTCAGAATGTACAGCATTCTAGAATGCCAGGATTATCCAGGCATAGCCAGTAATCTGTCGTAGTGCATTAAAATTGCATTTTCTCTCCAGGCTTCAGGAGGTGAGATGACATTACAATCCACATTGGGTCCCATTAATCCTCATTTGTGCGTTTGGATCTTTTATTTACAAGGAACATTAAATCTGGGCAGTACCAGATTTGCCCAGTGTACATATTGCAAAGGACATGCACGGCATTTAGCACTCAGAACATCCATTTCCAGTGTTTTGGTTTTGCATCTGTTCATGTTAGGTTTTGATTTTTTAAGTTTTTTAAAACCAGGGAACATTTGGGGACCTAAGCCCTGCAGTTGTGTCCCTTTCAACAGACACTGCCTCCCCTGCACTGGAATGCGGATAGGTCCATGGAAATTGTGAGTGATATAAAAAGTTAAAGTGGTCAAGTAGACACGTAAATAGGGAAGAAATGCTTCATCTCTGTGGCTTCAGAAATTTGCCTCAAGAAGTCTTCCTTGTGAAGTCTCATTCATTAGAACATTTTTTTCTTTTATGATTTTTTTGTGGAAAGAAACCTGATTTGACTTTTCTTTACAAAGATGTTTATCAATTTTATTTTTATGAAGTTCTTTTGACCCCAGTTTTATTTTTCTTTGCCTCCTCCCCCCAATCAAGGGAACCCACTGCAGCCTGTCCCCTGGGGCTTGTGAATGCTAGTTAAGGTTCCATGAACCAGCTGCAGAGGTTACTTTACCAGTCTGTGAACTCCCTTCCCTCCCAGACAGCAGGCCACAACATCCTAGAGGCATCCTCGCCCTGGAGCCTCTCCAGAATCATCTGGGGAAGGATCTGCAACTACCCCTAGGGCCCTTCGACCTGGAGAGCATTCTCGCGTATTATATATGAGATGGTTACCTTCCATCAGTTCATTTGGATTCCCTCCTTTTTCCTTTTTGCTTCTTTTAACCTTCAGATAGTTCTTGTACAGGTGGGTAGAGAGATGGGAGAATGAAATGGGAAAGAACTTAAGAGAGCTTACCTCTCCAACCAGTATAGCTAAGGAGATCTTCCCTGTTTTGCCCTTGTTTCTTGTATTTTCTGGAAGGTGATGGGTAAGAGTGAAGAGCTTGGCTTAGCCTAGTCTTTGACTAGCTTCTACATCTCACACTCATTTCCAAGGCCAGTTCCCAGTGGTATAATTCCTATCACAGTTGGGAAAGTCTAGCTACCTATTTTTCTCTGCCTTGATTCATTGCCAGTCATTTCTAATAAAGATGATTATTAGACTGTGTGTTAAGAGATTTGGCAAATCAAAACTGGATGGATAATTAGGTAAATGATTGCGAAATCCAAGCTGTATTACTGCTCTATCCATTATTCTAAATTGTTGCACTTTGCTTAGAAGGCACAGCATACTCTCTCCTCCCAGAGACAGTATATGCATACTACAAAACATGGCCACCCAGGAAAAACCCACACTACCCCATGGCCATCTTCACCCCCATGAAGAGGAGTTTGAAAATATGTGCCAATGTGCAGTAAGCAAATGTGACCTACAGAAGATTATCAGTGAAAAAGAAGCCATTCTTAACCAGTCTGTCTTTAGAAATCAGGAAAATCTGAAGGATGATTGCTTTCCTAAAAGACATACCAGCACTTGATATATATCCATCTATTTCGTCCTCTTTTAGTATAAGAGAAGGCCAAATGCTTAGCCTGTCTGTTGTTAAAGCATTCCTAAGAAGAGGCTTTGGGAACTAAGAAGCGAAGAATACCTTACTCTGATTTTTTTTTCCTCTTTAGGTCCGGAGGGTGCAAACCTCTTTATTTACCACCTTCCACAGGAGTTTGGAGACCAGGACATTCTGCAGATGTTCATGCCTTTTGGAAATGTTATCTCTGCTAAAGTCTTCATTGACAAACAGACCAATCTGAGCAAGTGCTTTGGTATGCAAAAGAAACCAAGCTAGGCTATTACAGTACACTCCCAAGTGAAGAGTCATGGGAAGGAAAATGTCAATGGCAAATATTTCAGAAGTCAGGATAGGGCTTTCCCTGTGTGGTGGTGTTTCCTAGATCCATGTAAGCAGATTGGGCAAAGTCGTTTAATCAAAAAGGAGGAAAGGGCTATATAAAAAGGAAGGATCTGGGAAATCAAACTAAATGCCCATGTGTTAGGTAATGTGTGTACTGCATTATCAAAGTGTCTTCCTACATATATCTAATAATCTCTCATTGGAGAACAACAGCAGTTTCTTTAAGCCCCATAGATTGAAGATGGGAATATACAGTTAACAGACTGTAGACACTTTGCCACTCATTCTTTATCCTTCCAGGTTCAGTGTGACTCAGACGCTGTGGCTGTGGGTAACACATTGTATTGTGGGTTTGTTCAGCATCCTGATATACATACTCACAAGTGCACATAGCGTCACCGTAGGGATGTGGTCAGGCTGCCACCACACTGCAGCTCGATGGGCACGGGGACGGGTGGTTGATGTATCTCATGGGCACAGAAAGCACTGCATTATGCTGGGATTCAGGAGCCAGAATTTGGGGTTATAGGATACTGCTTGAGTGGATGTAAAGCTCAGGGGTGTGCAGGTATTCTCAGAACACTGGAAAACCCAGCTCCTTAGCACCCCAGAGCCGTCAGGCCTGCCTTCCCCAGGCGGCCCAGACTCTGCCTCCTGGGGTGTTTTTTACTCCCTGAGTAAGGCAAGCTCACTGCATGCACTAATGTTTTACAGCAGGAGGATAGCATCACTACATCTATTTCTTGTTTTATTTTTCAAACCCTTTTGGTCCCCAAAGTAGTTTCAAAGCTGGAATGTTCAGAGTGTATATTACTCACTTGGCAAGCTCTGGCCCAGTCTGAGATAGAACATTTGCTTTAATCACTCCTCCAATTTAATAATTCGTGTTGGTAGTAGGTAGTAGCAGTAGCATAAAACAAAATAAAGTAGCATAGATACAGGCCGGAGGAAATACAACTACAATGGTATGGCATAAAGAAAAACATCAAAGGTAGGAGTGGTTGTCAAACAGCCCACAACTCCAAACTAGTATTTGGCTGACTGGTAGTGGGCAACCAGTCTAAAGAGAATGTTTTGGCTTCTAAGACTCCATTCTCATAACATCTTTCTAATTTCTGTGCTATCACCCAGGAAGCTCGGAAGCCTCTATGGTTAGGGGAATTAGTATGTCAACCATTTAAAGTCACTGTTTTTACCCAAGTGGAAAGGCTGTCAGCCTGAACCCATTACACCATTGCTGCCGCCATGGCAAGTCTATAAACCGCCTTGTAACGGCTCACGAGAGAGTGCGATGGAAAGTATGTTGTTCCATAGGGTGTGTGCGTGTTGTAGTGTGAGCTTACCTTTGGGAGCTTCCCTGCACAAGGTTTTGAGCCAGGCTTTTATATTCCTCATCGCCAAACAATGTCCTGGGCTTATTTGGAGATGGGAAAGGGATTGTGCTTCGTGGTTTGAGTTTGAGAAAATATTTACTGCCTTGAACAGGGATCCTTTCAGCCCACCGACTACTTAACCAATGTGTTCATAATCATGCAAGCTATAGCTATGAATACGAGCAGACAACTGTATTCAGCATTATGGACTGGGTCTTCAATTTCTCTTAAAAGCTGTAGCATCCCATACCCGGTTTCTCAGTGAGCCAGCCTGATTTCTTGTGGTCCCAGGTTTCCTGGACTGCTAGTCATAAGGTGGTACCCCATTCTAGCCTCCTGGCCAGGTTTCATTATCCATTTCACCCTTGACCCATTTCCATTCTCTAATCATCTTATTACTTCTGGGGAAAGACCCAGAGGGAAAGGAGAAAATCAGAGCAAAAATCTATGATTCAAGATCACATTTATTGGGAATTAAATTTAATAAAAATTGAAACCACCATTTTGAAATACAGCCTACCTATGAGAGGCTTTTCTGCCTTATACTATGTGCTCATTTTTACCGGCTGAAAGTATATTTATGTCCTTTTTTTCCTCCTCTAGTTTGTAAAGGAATTTTCTCTTTAGCTTTCAACTTTAACAGTAGATAGATGGAGAAACTCAGTATAGAACCTCTGATGTTCAGAACTGAAATTCAATCACTGTAATAGTTTCCTTTTGATCTAAAAGTAAGTAGGGACTGTACAAACTCAGCACTTTTCCATCAGCATTACCTAAAGAAAGCTCTGCGTGGACCACCCTATAGCCCCACTCCCCCCCCAGCCCTGTGTTAAAACAAACTATCCGATCAAAATTCTGTTTCTGGGTCTTCGTTGAGCATCATTGGTTCTTTTTCAAAAGCATGCCCTCTCTACCATTTTGGTGGCAAGTGTTGGTACAGAGAAGACACTGTAAACGCAGGATGGTTGTTAAGCCCTGGGCTGTTTAGACTGTTTATTCCCCAGGACTCTTGGGGATACAAAGTAGCAATTTCCATTCTGTTAAATTGAGTGGAGCTTTGAAAATGGAAGTTGAGATAAGGAGATAGGCCCAGTATTTCCCCTGGGACTGTAAGTTCCTCTCAGTAATAACTCCAAAATGTTAAAAATCAAGTATAAATTACTCTAGAGTTAATTTACTAACTTACCCCATCCTACAGCCAAATAGGTGTGGGCTCTGTGAATATGGATGGAGAACTCGAAAGAAAGACAGCGTCTTTGGCAGCACACCCTGTCGTCCAGCCCTTCCCTTAATTATCCTGCCTTTAACCCTCGCCTGGTGGGGACATGTGAGCCTCTGGGGCCCTTCCAGCCCTAGAATATTTATACCACTGCTTATATGAGCAGCCCTTACTTCTGTACTTACTTCTTACTTCGTAATCCTTCCTTTCAGAAGGATTCTAAGGGACTTGAAACACCAACAGATTTGACTGAAATCAGTAAACAGAGAGACTAAATTCACTCAACAACGGAGTCTGAGATTTTAGCTTTCTGGCGAGGGGGTTTGTTCTCCTGATAGCAAATTACCAGTCCAACCAGCTTTTTCACTGCTTCTCAGTGGACATTTCCAACGTTGCCCCTAAAACGTGCCCTGTACGTCTGCGGCAGGCACACAGTGTGAGCAGAGGTGAACTGAGGCCATGGGGTCCTTCCCATTCACAGTTACACTCTCCAGCTATTCCATGAAGTCCCTGGTCCCCTTCTCTACTCGGCTGCCTCTGCGTCTTGATTCCCGCCCTCTTTCCCCTCGTGTCTTCCAGGTTTTGTTAGCTACGACAATCCAGTGTCTGCGCAAGCTGCTATCCAGGCTATGAATGGCTTTCAGATTGGCATGAAACGCTTGAAGGTCCAGCTGAAGCGCTCCAAAAACGACAGCAAACCTTACTGATCCTAACCCCAGAGGCTCCCTGCTCTTATGTTAGCTTTCTTAGGGTAAGTCCCACGAGCCAGCCTGTTCTCAACAGGAAAGGCAGAGGAGGACCACATTGCCAACTTTTACCAAGAGAGACGATTATTTTTACAATAAGGCCTCCATTTCCCACTCCCACCCCCCCACCCCCCATCCCCAGTTCGCCATAATTAAAACTTGGGCTACCTTGTTTCTATCGAGTCAACTTCTCCTCCAGTTGTGCCACTGTATTCTCCTTTGTTTTGCAATTTGAATCTCTTTTTTACTTTTTTTGTTTTGTTTTCGTTTTTTGCTTTAAAAAAACACACACACACACACACACACATAAAAATAGATGACATCTTGAGAATTTAAAAGGCAAACAAAGGCTAATGTGCAATTCTAACTCTGAGACCCCTGGTACCCTGAGAGCACTGCCTGGAGAATTCACCCCTCCTGTCTGCGCCCACCCCCTAGGAGGGCGCCCGCTGTTGAGAGGTTAAGGCGGTGGCCCAGCTCCAGAGAAAAGCCAGGAGAAGCACTTAAAACAATACAAAACGTCTTTCCACTACATTTGGTTTGTCTTAATAAGTAGGATTTTATTTTAGGGTTCAAAGAAACATGACTATGCGTCAGATTATTACACTGGTTGTCTATTTTGTTATTGTTTTATTTTAGTTTTTAGAAAGGATTAATGTAAAAAAAGATTTAGAGATCTGTTTCTTAAAGCTACAGGGTTTAAAAATAAAATAAAAATGAGTGCAAATACTTGATGTTTCTTGAAAGATAAATTTAATAATAAATAAATAATACATAAATAATACATAAATAAAAAAGAAAGCCACAGGCCTGTAAATTTTATTTGTAAAAAAAGCATTTCTATTTTTGTACAAAATTTTTACTGCCTCAGAAATAATGGAAGTTATTTATTGCCTATTGTTAACTTATTGGGTACCTAAAGAGCAGCTCTCTGTGCTAGCTAGATCCTTTTGAAGTAGTCTCTAGAGGAATTGTTCTAGGAATGGGCTTTTTTTCACCGTTGAACCCTAGGCCTGAAGTTCATGCTTTATCCTCTTGTTGTTTGTATCTGTCTGATTATTTTGTTCGTAACTTCCATTATCTAGTTTACAATTCAGTCGTCTGACTTTCCCCGTATGTTACATTCGTTGAAACTGGATCCTCTCCCCTGTCCCTTGCCAGCCCCTCACCCCAAAACACCCGAATCCATCCCCTCTCCCTCTCTGGATGGATTCTCTTGGGGTTCCATTGTGCTGTGGATAAAGACTGTAAGAAATGCAAATTATGTGGATGGCTCGTAGACTCCCTGATGACCTAAGATTTGCATTAGTTTTTCTCCCGCACCCTTAAGAGTGATTTTGTTGCTGCTGCGTAGATTCTGTGTAACTTTTTACTCTCCCTTGTTTTCTCCGTAGACATCTTCATGCCCGTTAGGTCACCGTTTGCCTAGCATGTCCCTGTGGCGTCTCAAAAAAAGTTTCATCGTCCCGTCATTGTTTCTGATGTCTTTCTGACCTCACATCATATTTGGTTCTCCTACTGACCTTTGATCTAGTTTGACCTTTGAAATTTGCATGTGACCTCATCTAGCTATGAATTCTGGGAAGTCAATGTGAAAAACATTGCTGCATTCATGCAAGACTGAAATTTATTATTAGACAAATTAATTATAGAAAACAAAAAACCTGTGGCAAAAATGTTTCTTTCTTATTTTTTTTTTTGTTTCTTTTCATAAAACAGACTTGAAAGTATTATACGGGGATTGGCATTCTTCCCGGTCACTGGTAACAATAGCAATATGTATCCAGGGACACAGAATGTTGGTTTCTAACAGACTACTTCCAAAAACAGTTTGAGAAAAAAACTGTCTGATTTTAAGTCTCTAGAGGTCTGTAATAGTTTTTACATTTTTCAGGCAGTGTAAAGTTTTTTGATAAGGCCATTTTAGGTGGCTCACTTTCTCATTAAGATATATATATAGAACCACTTTTTGTAGATTAGTATAAGAAAAATATTTACCCTGTTTTGGGGCAAATGCTACCTATTTGTGTCACCTTTTGCTGAACTGACTCACAGTTAGACAATCCATGGTTTAATGCACATGAAATTACCTATATTTTATACTGTTTCAATGTACAGGAGAAAGGTTACTGTAAACTGTGTTACGTTGGTGCTTCTGTGAATTAAGTTGTGGCTTCATCATGAGTCTTATGGTCTTAATGTTCTTTGTTGATAAGACAAGTTTAGAATTGGTTTACTTAAAACAAAAAAGAATTTCAAAAAAAAGTTGTTTGCTTAAAAAAATTTCATGTGAGGGGAAAAAAAAAAAACCTATTCCAGAATAAGTTTTGTGTTGGCTTGTAAAGCATTGATGTCATTTTTTTTTATTGTGGACTATTATAGATGTGTTTGTGTTCAGCAAAATGTGATTTTTTTTTTTTCTTTTAAAGAAAAAAAGTGAAAATATATAGTGCCAAATTCCAAAGGTACTTCCTTCCTAGAGCTTCAGTGTGTTTCTTGTGAGAAGTAATTTGATAACATGGGTATTTTATTATGTGTTTTGTATAAATCCCTAATATTTAAAAAACAAAAAACAAAAAAAAGAGGTTAAAAAGTTTGTTAACTTGCTATCCTGTGGTCTTGTTGCCTGAAATTGTTATTGTTATTTCTCTATAATGTTTTTTGTAAGACATTGTATAAGTGCCCATGTCTCACTTTTTTAACCACTCTGCACATCAATGCTGTGACAGCAACCTCATAATGTATTTTCTTCATAATATATGGAAACCTCTAAGGTGAGAAAGTTTTGAACTTTTAACTCTTTCTACCCAGAGCTATCTGGAATGTTGATAACTTTTTATACTGTCATCATTTTAGTTTCTTTTGGGGTGTTTCTCATTTGGATTTTTTTTTTGCATATATCTTCTCTGAGTTTTTGTCTTTACTACTTTCTTATCCTTTGGTTTGAGATCCAGAAGAAAAAAACTCCACAAAGCAAATCTGAAGGAAAAAAATAGACTTTAACCCTCTCCAATTTCTTTTCCCTACATCATTTTTTTTTTTTTTTGGATTATTTCTGGTCATTGTTTTAAAAAGAATTCTTAATGTGCTGCTGGAATTCCTTCTTCAGTTTTAATTAAAACAGTTTATTGGATAAACTTTCTGAGGGGGGTGGTAGATAGATTGAGCACCTAAATAAACCTTACAGTCTATGCTTTTGAGATCAGGTTTAGTGTGGTAATTTCTAGTTTAGAATATTTTCAAATACCTTCCAGTTAAATGACAGTCTTTTGAGGGATTTTTGCTTTTGTTTCTTAAACACTCCTAAATAATCAGCCATTGTGCTGGGGAGTCTCGGACCCCAGTGGACACCTCTGAATAAGCAAGGTGTCTGGAGTGAGAAGCCCTTTTTATTTTTTTTTTTTAACAAAATGCATTTAAGGGGAACTGACCATGTATGTAAAACTCAGTTCTTTATCACAGTTACTAACCAAATACCTAGGACAGTTCCTGCTGCCACTTTTTAAAGTGCCATATTATTTTGACTTTGACTTCATGTGACCAGATCCCGTGCTGTCTTGACAAACCCCAGTGTCATCCCTAGAGCCCCCAACACAAACTCCTGCCTTTCTGGAAGCTTCTTTGTCTCTCACCGAGTTCAGAACTGCTGGCTCCCTTTCCTTCCTCCGTTTCCCACTCACCACCCTGTCTGGTTTGATGTGTGTGGATGTGATAGCCCTGGGATGGAAAGGACTAGCCTCTAATGATGCAAAAAACAACACAACAAGTTTCCTTCTTATAGCACATGCACTTACAATGAAATGATTTGTATTATCCTCACACGTGTTTACTACTGCTGGGGCCTTCCTTCATCCTTTGAGGGCTATTTTGTACTTCCTGCAGCAATCAGCTAAAATCACAAAGTTATTACACGTCTCTCATATTTATTATATGGTGGTGTGTAGATACCTACATAGGAACACAAGAGAACACCATTTGAATTTCTGAAGACCGTTCATTCAGAATCTCTTCATTTATCAATTACACATATATCTCAAAACCCAATTTTTTTCCCATTTCTTCCCTGAAGTAAACTGCCCTTCTCCTGCACTTGTTTCCTTTCACCCATCTGCATCTCCCCCGGAGGAACCTGAGAGCAGCTGACAGGGGACTCAGGGTGGGCACTTTGAGTTGTCTCTTATTTTGCAGACAACGAAGACAGTACATTTAGGGGGAAAGTCCATTCTTTTTTTTTTTTTTTTGCATGTTTCATTGTTAAAAAGATAACCCTCCTCAGAGACAAGTTGTCCTTTTATTCACTTTATCTTTTAATATCAAAAGAAAAAAGCTGCAAGGGTGCAAAGGGCCCGTGCCAGAAGAAAAAACACACAGGGAAACTGTTTTTTTAAAAAATCAAGCGTAGAGAATAGTCATTTTTAAACTAAATTAGAGAATTGCAATACAATGGCAGTCCTCAAAGGCGTAACAAGTTCATCTTTCTGTCACCATAGGGGTTATAGTTCTTTGGCTTGTGCTACTATGGAATCATTTTACTGTTTCTGTTTTTATTAAGTGCTAATTAACAAGAAAAAATAAAATTTTAAAAAAACCTGTAGTTTCATTACCTTTTTGAATAATGTCATACAAAAAATGTATTTGTGTTTTTTTGTGCTGTGAGAATTGTTGTTTGTAGATTAATGATATCATTTTGTTTAGAATTACAAAATAGTTTTTAAATATTGTCTGAGAAAAGCCAAAGTTAATGCAACCTAGTGGAAACTGTAAGACCATTTGAGTATTGTTTCTGTTTTATTGATGCATTTGGATTTTGTTGTTTGATGGAATTTGAGCCAAAAAAAAAAAAAATGCAGGCTTTCCTATTTCTACAATTGATTGTACTTATGCATTTTGTACCAGTGGAACTTTTTATACTGGAGATTAAAAAAATGGAAATTTTTGTGGCTTACTCTAGTGGGCCGCCTGACAATGACTGATTTCAAGTTTGATTTCTGGTTGATAGAAAGAAAGTTGCTTTTCTTTTGAGAATTAAAAACTTTGGCTTGATTTCTTTTTTCCCTTTGCTTATATCTAGCATTAGAATTTTGTCTTAAAATACAGCGGTAAGTTTCACTTTTTATTCTGTATTGTGCAGTTACACAATAAGGTAATTAGATTTAGAAGTACTCAGTCACTTTAAGTGGATAAATGTATTAGTTAAAACTTTAGGGGTTTGCTTTTTTGCTGTTTAGAACAAAGTTTTTTCTGATTCTTCTGTCCTCATTGTGAACATAACCGTGTAGTTGAAACAGTCAAACTTATT